GATTCATGTCAAAAATACCGAACTATCCCTTTAAAGCAGCGCTGACGAGTGACCAATAGAGATTCCCCTTTCCGAGGATTCTCAGGTACAACAAACTGAATCAAGCTGCAAGTGACCTTCTACTCTGCCTCCATTGAGACCTTTCTGGAACAACCGGGTGCAGGAAGGCCCCGAGAAGGATTCCAGACATGGCACAGAGAATATGTGCCTTCTTTCCTCCCTAAAGGAAATCGTCAGCACCAAATGTCGTCCTCAAAAACCACTACCCAGCACATCACCTGTATGGACCTATGCCCTCTGACAAACGCTACAGGCTCACACTATCAGACTGAAGAATCATTTTTACCCTTGGGCCATTAGATTCTTACTCTCCTGATTTGCAAGAACATTAACTGACCTCCTTGGAGATCATGTGCACTATAAAAATGTATTTATTAATACACCACACACTCTCACCACAAATGCATGCCCACACACATAAACAATTGCACATGTACTGTGCACACAGAATAGAAAATAGATCATTTGTGGGATATTTTTGTTTCTTTTCTGTTTTCATAATTACTATCCATTGCCTATTTATTTTCTTTTTCTTAAATTTAGAGCAATAAGGGTGAAACTGTTTTTATTGTATCTGACATCTAAGGACAAAATATGCACTACCGAAATACTTTGAATAGAGAAAATTCCCTTCTTATTTTCAACTGCTTTATTAGTGCGTGTTTTTTATTTTTCATGAAATATAATATTTTATATTTAGAAACTGCTTCATGCTGTACTAAAACCAAAGTTTAGGTATGGTGGTTTTTTTTGTTGTTGTTTTTTTTGTCCTAATGGGTTACAGGTTTTAGCCATAAATAACTGCAGAGCGGTCTGACCGCATTGTGGAACATTTTTCCTCCTATTCACACTTTCATTACCCTCACAAATAAAGAGCATTCAACAGAATTAGCAGCACTGAATCCTGCCTGATCTTAATGACATTTTCCAAATTCTGCTTTTAACTGTGGATTACATTTGTTTGTGTGTGTGCGGTTTTTAAATAGGCTCATTAGCTAAAAGCGCTGATGGATAATACCTCAGTGAAATAATTACTAGCCCTTTCCTGGCCCCTTTTAACAGAGAGTAAAAGAGAGTGTGTATAGAGAAGCAATGAAGGAAGGGGGTGTGAAAAAGAAAGGTATATAAAAAGAATTGGGGAAAGGAAAGAAGGCAGTGGCAGAGAGAGGAAGAATGATGGCAAGGATGAAGCAGGGGAAAAATGTTGAGACTTTATTCATTATAAAGAGGAGCACAACAAGGGGAGATGGCATTAATCAGAGCTCTGTGCTAATGAGGCATTTACTCATTATACAGAAATAGAGAGAGGCCGAGAAAGAAAAAGGCAAGAGAGAAAGGATGGGCTGAAATGCAAATTAATTGAAAGTGAACAGGGGTAAAAATAGGGAGGCTAGTGCAGAAAGGTGAAAGAGTCAAGTGTGTTTGTGGCGAAGCCTGAGCCAAATGTAAAGTGTGAAATGACATCCTCCGAAAATGATCAGGTACCAGCACCCTGTTTAAATTCCCTCTCAAGGGATTAAAGATGAATTAAGTAATTTAAACAGAATGGCAGTATATGAGGGTGAGTATAAAAATTACAACTTCCCAGCGTTTATTGGAGAATAGCTGCAGGCTATAGTTTTATCACAAATGGCACAATTTCTGGGAACAAAAAAGCAATTTCATTTCGATGGAAAAACACAAAAAATATGGCTTTCATAATGGTTTTTAAATCATATCAGGACATTTTTTTTTCTTTCAACACAGAAGCCATTCATTCAGCTAGTAGCTGATTGAACAGGTTTAATGCCTGTTAGCATGGCTTTCTCTGGAAATCTCTATTTTTTGCAACTAAGTGTTTATTATGTGTTTTAGTACGGCAGCTATAACTAGTTGCTTGGATATCTTTAACCCCTACAATTGAAAAGAGTAATTTGGAACCTGATCAAACACTGCAGCTGACTGTGCTGTTATAAAATAAAATTATAGAGAAAATCTTACAGAAAAAATTCTAATAAAACTTCCAGTGAGAAAAAAAACAACAACATTTTATGCCGAGAGCTTTATGTAAAATAGTTTTGAATTTTTTTTTTTTTTTTTTAAGTGGTTTTGAGCAGATGTATCTATGAATGTGATACATCTGCTCCACCTGTGGACTGATCATGTTTGATATTATTCACTCAATACTGTTCTCTGAAATGATCCTGTTTTTTTAAATTGTTTTCTAATTCACTGAGTGTCCCTAAATTTTAGCAAGCCTTCCATATATACAATCGTTTCCATATTCTTTCTCCTTCTTTTAAATTTAGCAACATGTTAAAACACATTTTTCAACATGTATTTCACATTATGTTATATCATGTGGTTAATCCTGTTTGCCAAATTTCACATATTCTGCTACTGTTTTCATCTGTGATGTTTGTTTTGATGAAATCTGATCTTTTCTTTACATAATATTTCTATTCATAACTCAAACTAACTGTTAGCTAATTTCCTTTAGTGATTGTTTTAAATTAAATCTGAATAACTGCTATGACTAAGTTATGTCCTTAATTATCAGGAGCATTTGGTATGGGTGTAAATGGGGGGTCAGCATTGGTCAGTAACTATGCAGAGAATGTTTTGACCCTCCTACTGTAGTACTTCATCCCCCCTAGTTTGCAGTTTTCTGCATAAATCCTTCTGTGCTACCTCAAACCAAAGAAGTTGCCGTTTAGTTGCTGACCCTTAGATGACACCACAGACAGACAGCCTCTTTTCTCTCTCTCCCACTCAAAGACCAGCGAGCAGCCTTTAATGATCTCCAAACCCAGGCTCTACATCTGTGTTTTTCTTTTTCTCTCTGACCTCCTGTCATTCTTCCATTTCCCTGCCTAATGTACACGACTGCATATGATTTAGATCTAAACTAAAACATCATTAGAATAATAAACTCCTCATCTATTTTAAGTAACCTCTACAATCCAGTTTGTTTAAACTTGCTCCGACTTTCAGCCTGTGCTCACCTCTATCTTAGGATGTAATTTAACTCACCTTCTCTCTGTCTGTCTCTGACCGTCTGCTTGCCTGTCTTTCTGTTTGTCTCCCCAGGAGTCTGACCTTGTCCTGACATTCAACCTGTCAATGCATCGCTCCTGGTGGATGGAGAACGGACCTGGTTGCAGAGTGACACCCATCACCCCCCCTCCATCTTGGGCACCTGAGGACCACAGATATATATCTATATCTGGCTGTCTGATGGACTTTGAGTTCATAGAAGTGGCTCATTCCTCACTGCAGATACTCCTGGCTGTGAGTATTTCTCCTTAACACAGTTTCTCTTAAGTCAGTGCAAATACATTTGGTTGGTAAAGGCCTTAAAACAAGCTAAATTGGTGAGATAATAGCAAGCTCTTCTGTAAGTACAATTTATGGTCAATCTTAAATATTATGCATCTATCTTACATAAGCATATCTTAGCTAATGGCTGGGAGCAGAGTTTACATCAATAAATAAAGGCAGCCGAGGAGAAATAACAAACGCCTTAGTTTTTTTTTTTTTTTTTGTTCATTTAATGCCCATCAAGGGAAGTAATGATTGATGTAAGGATTTTATGTAGAAATTCATAACAATTTTGTCCTTCATCTCACTACTCTTACATACTTACATATTCTAAGGCACGTGATAAAAATTTATTTATCATTATAAATATGCATTTCCTGCTTTTTTAGCCAGATCCAGGACTGTCTTGTGATAAAGAGTTTTAAAGGAGAGAGACACAAATGTAGAAAACCTAAGCCGTTTTTCTCATATTAACAGGTTAATTAATTACATGATTTAAAAAATTACAACTGTTATATTTTTGACGAAAATATTTACCCTTTTTATTTGGGACTTTTAGGTTTTAAATTACAGATGTGTTGGCTCAATTCAATCTCTAGCTTTTTTGATCATCTATGATATTCTGTAGAAAAATGAACCCCGTTTGCTCCACCCCTTTAAGAACCACAGTGAACATCATTCAATCATAGCTTGCTCTTTTCTATCTTTGCAAAAATCAGGTAGAATCGTAAAAAAATGTCAGTTACTGCAAACTGTGTAATCCAGCAAACCTATTCAACCTACAGTATAAGGCAGAATTATCTGTAATGAGATTAGATATGCATCATTATGAGATGAATTACATATTACTTTACATATTAATTTTTAAATTAAATGTAGAACCTGACAAAACTGGAAAAAGCCCAAAATCAATAGACTATTTTATTCATGTTTGGGATTCATAGGGATTGCATCACTGCTTTTTTAGCTGAATATTTCTGTAGGAAATAGCCTGAATTTTCTATTAGATGATTTTCGTTACATGTTTTTTTTAATAAATCTAAACAATAAAGTCAAGTAACATTTCTGTGATATGTTTCTTATTAAGAGCAAAGTCACACCAGCTTTTTTATTGTCATCACACCGTCACAAGTACAGAGCAATGAAATTAACTCTCTGCATTTAACCCATCCCCTTGGAGAGCAGTAGGCTGCCATTGTGCGGCGCCCAAGGAGCAGTGTGGGGTTAAGGGTCTTTTACTCAGGGACCCAGAGGGGAAGTCTTTGGGAATGGGACTCAGAACCTCAGAATTTAAAGCTCTGTGCCCTAACCATTAGGCTGCCACTCCCCCATATTTCCCCCCCACACCTTTTTTTTAGGCTTTGCAGTGATACAGGTCACCAGTTAAACAGGATATTTCTGTAATGTTAAAACAATCGTAGTGTAATGTAGTATATAACAGAAGCAAAGTTTTCAAGCTCTAAAATTTTTCCGTAAATTTATGTCAGGGGACAATTAACTATAAATTTTGGTAAATTTTTTAACATGTTAAGGCCTTCAAAAAGCAAATTAATTTGTCAGGAGAAAAATTTAAAAAAGGAAAACAAGAAATATAGGAAAAAACACTAAAATTACAATAGGCCTTCGCAAATTAGCAGGATTAAAGCTGTTAGCATTGGTAACAGCCTTCTCAGTGTGTTTTCTAAGAAAGTTGACCTAACCATATTTCCCTCAGGAACAACTTCCACACTGAAGGGTGTTGTTTTTAACCTCACCTTATAGAGCTTAAGGTTTTGTCATATCAGCCGATTTTCTGGTGCATTACTAGCTTTAAAATTTGAATTAAACCATTGAAAGTAGGATTAAATAATCACTTTGGAGATGCTTTATGAATGACCCACAGGTTCATAATACAAACTTATTTCGAGGAGTTCCTTTTTGCTTGTTACAGCTGTGCTTCGTTGTAAACTCCTCCCCTCTCCATTAATTAAAAATGCTCTCGAATGCTGTCTAAGAGTATTTGAACATGTGCTTAGATATGACTCATTCACTCCAAAAAACATACTTTTTCAAGCTTCTAAACATCTGAATACCAGTCAGTTTTTTTAAATAATCCTAGTTTTGTCCTTGAAGTGAATTGGTTTTAATATAAAAAGCTTCTTTTTAAAGGTTTGCAAGATGTTTATATATTTTAACTGTAAAATATACTCCAAATTATTGTATATTCACCTGCTCTTTGATGAATGTTGAACCGATGTTTGTCACTCTGACACTGTGTAGTACTGGAACATGCATTGCTGAAAATCAAGACCCTTTTTCTATTTGAGTTCTTTGCAGAAAAAAAGTGTTTTGTTTTTATTTTCTTGTCTTTTTTTGTTTTTTTGTTAAGCACAGAATTAAATAAGCTTTAGACTTTTCCCTCTCATTTATATACAACAAGCTATTAATACGCTCCTGAGAGAGTGTACTTAAGTTTTCCATTAGCCTTCCTTCGTCATGTTTAATTGTTTTAAAATCAAATATCTGCTCTCTTATGCTGCATTTATTCACAATTTTATATTTTTTCCCTCTCCTTTGTTGTCAAAATGCGATACTTAAACACATTAGACCAGAGAACAGGGAGACAAAGAAGGAGCAGGAAGGAAGGAACACCTGAGATTTTTCATTTCAGTATCTCCTCTGTAGCCCAACTCTGATTTTGCAGAATGCTCCAAAAAAAAATGAACACTTTCACCAATAAACAAGCTGGTGTTTTTTTATTTTGCATGTCTGCATCATGACGAATGTCTGTCTTTTTGCTGTTTTTTTTTTTTTTGCTGGATCTTTCTCCCCTATGCACTGCTGTTCCCTCTCATCATGTGCTTACTGTGTCTCTCTGTAAATCGATAGTGGTACTTATAGTGTGGCTGAGTGCCAAGCTACCAAACAGCTTTACTACTGTCTCACAATAATTGGTGTGTTGAAACACTGTCATGCTCCCTGAGCACAAACTCAACGGTCTGACGGGTTCAACGGTTGACTGGCTGCCTGGTTTAGGGCACATCTAAGTGAGTGGTTGGTGTTTTTATTGGGCTGCATAATGAACTGAAAGACTAGGTGTCCTTATGTGTACCAGCAAGCTGCCTGATTTTCAAATAACTGAAGGAGGGAATTAATAGGGAATGGTTGTCAGTCTAAATATTTCAAGAAAACAGCTCATGCACACAGAATGGAAAAAAAAGACATCTCAAATAAAGTCATGTGGACAGCGTGTTGTGGGAAATGATACCCAATGAGGCATAGAAGCTGTCAAAATGTTATCTTGGGTATTATTTTGTTTAGGTTGGTGGTCTATTGGGATTTTTTTTTACTAGTTTCTCTTACTAACTGGATCGCTGTCTGTATAGCTTTTGAATTACAGACTTTCAACATATATTTACTAGTGTTGCGCCGATGCCATTTTTGGCCCGGAGACAGATACCCAATACCTGGCTGTGCAGTTCTGACCGATACCAATACCATGCCGATACTATCGTATGGAAAAAGGAAAAGGAGAAAGACTAATACAAAGTGAATCCAGTAGAACTTTTTTATTGCCTGCCTGGAATGGGTGGCAATAGTTTAATAAACGTTTGGCTCGCAAAATGGTATTGATGCCTTATTTGTTGGTACTCGCCTTTACCAATACCACAATTTTAGTGCTGTATTGGGACCCTTCCCGATACTGGTATTGGTGCAACACTAGTATTTACTGCTTCAAATCTATTATATTTTACATTTCTAGAGGTTAACTAAGAATGCTTCTCAAATGTTATTGATTATTTGTCAAATGCCGTCTGTATTATGCTAGTCTTGTGACTAGTTAATAGTAAAATACAATCATAGTCAATAAATTTGGGTATTGGTGAAAGTGTTATTTTAGTAACTCAATTAAATCAAAACACATGGATCAGTTACACACAAACTGTTTTTCAGAGCCTTTATTTATGTTATATGTTTATGTTATTTATGTTATATGTTATATGTGATTGTAAATGCCCTGTACTTACATAGTGCTTTTTCAGTCAGGAGACTTGAGCAAAGTGCTTTGCACTGCATTCAGTCATTATGTAATCATACTGACAGCTAAAAAACACCTAAATCTTACATCACACTAAAGAGCTTTAGAAAACACACAAAGATATAACACAAACTTTAATAGCTGTTTAAATGTTAATATTTTCTAATTTATTAAATTATTGAACATGAAATACATTTTTTAGCTGGTAGTTTTTATTTTACAATCTTTTTCTTATTTTTTTCTTCTTATATCTCAATCAGATTTTTTAAGAATTAAATTTTCAGTTTTCCCTTATCATTTCATGAAAAGGAGCAGAAATGAACATCTGATATTTAACACTCTTTTCTTTTGCCGCTACTTAATGAAAATGCTGCATTTTGACTTAAATTACTGACAAAAGATAGTTTCCAATCAGTTTCCGATTTATGGAGCTGTGTCTGTATACCCTGATTAGTTTGCTGCAGTAAATGAATACCTTATCTTTATTCTGTAATTATCATTGGTGCTGAGACAGAACAGGAGTCCTTTTGGGCCATTGCTACCAGGCTGTAGCTTACAGAGTATGCCTTTGATCGCATCTTTCTTCAGCTGTGTATTGCCTGCTGATCGACCGGGAAGGTTGATAATTAAATTGGGGAAAAAGGAAAAATATCTAAGTAAAGGCTTTCTACTGACTCAATGGTGTAGTAATTGCAGTGATTAACCCAAGTGGAGGATCTAATCAGTGAAATCACCTACTGTTGTTTGTGTTGTTGAAGAAAATCTATTTGCAGTCAAGCTTTTTGTGCACATGTCTAAATAAGTTGGACAAGGACAGATTTTAAGTTTTCACAAAGTGATCACCGAATGGTTCTACATTTTTAAGACAGTAAGTAATACAAGCCACAGTCATTTAAATAAGTGAGTCAGTTTGATTTAAGTAACACATATAAATACTGTCTAATAGGTTTAG